AGTAGGAGACTGGTCCAGTCCATGCAGAGTTATATTCTGTACTGAGTCCATTGTGACATTAAAGTTAATGACACTAGTTCCAATGAAGTAGAAGGTGGTTTTACTGTATTGAGACATATTCCCAGCATACACTGATAAAGGATTACAAGGTGACTGAGTAACTGAACTGCAGTCATCAGACACATAATACTGACCAGAAGAGACACTGCAGGAGCTACTGAAGAATAAGAGAACAACCACTAACAGGAGAGACATAGCTACTGTCTGTACTGATGACTAGTGAGTAATAGTAAGATTATGAAATTATTTATTAAGCCCGGTTTCCATATATATACATGTTGTGGCTATTGTATTCTGGGTGGTTAGCAAACAATTGTTGTAGAGAGAGGTTTGGGCTCTACCTCCACAATTGTCGCAAAAGGAAACCAAAACCAGGTTTAAATGAGTAAATAAAACACTTGTTGTGATTCATGCACTAAATATCACTATCATGCAGTATATGCAAGAGTACATGCAGTATCTACTAACAGAAGAGACTAAGAAATGAAATGAGATGATGTGAAATGAGATTAAGCTAAACATTATTGCATTAACAAAACTTCTTGGGATTCTTTTTCGCACTCACAGGCTCAACTCAGTTTTTCACCATCCTCCAAATATGGAAATAATAGTTGTGATAGTACATTCAATTTTTCATTAAATAATAATTTTAGTAATAATCTCATAATACACAAAATTAATGTTAAACAGAACAGCTGAACTTGAGGAATTAGTACATTTTGTTACAGTCAGTGTATGCATACAGTGTCTATCTGTATGTCAGTGGTCCATTGATTTAAAGAGTACACTCTTGTTACAGAGATACTTGATGACATGTAGTGAGTACTTTACACAATGCTGCATGTTGAGCTGCCCACATTGTGAACAATATGATCCATCAACACTATTAACCTAAAGGATGATAGAGGGAGAGAGGTTTAATAAGACATCATTATAATGGAGATAAGGTAATGAGAGTCGGACAACATGAAGATTGGAGACTAATAAGTGTAATGTACAGTGTTTCCCCACAAGATTTGACATAGTGCTTCTTGTCAGCAAATTTGTAAAGTTGTTCCAAATTAATTTTGATATGCTACAGTACTATAGTGTTCGGCCAAATTTTGCCAAAAATGAAAGTAGAGAATTGTCCATTTTAATAATTTTCCTGATACATATACACATTCTTATGTTGAGTATAAAGTTTGAACTCATCTTGATCAAATTTGGATTTTTTAATGAATTTTTAAAGTTGCTTAAAAAATGAATCAAAGTCCCTGATAAAATTTTCTTGGCCAAATTTCACTGAAATTGAAAAGGAGACAATTCTCCATTTTTATATGTTTTTCTTATATATATATATATATACATGTATATATACACACTTATGTTGTGTAGAGATTTTGAAAGAATTCCAATCAAAAATAAAATTTTTTTACAATTTTAAAAATTTACTCAAAAGCCATGTACTGTATTGTAGTGCTTGTCAGCTCATGAAGCTCATGCTGTTTAGCTCACTTAGCATGCTTTGTGGGGAACCCTGTATGGAAGTACATGTATAACAAAGAAATAATAATGAAGAGGAAGATGGGAGAGAGAGAACATGGAACACAATAAATTTAGATCAATATGTGCATGAACAATATACTGTAGAGTGCTTTAATTTTGCGGATAAATAAAAATCAATTTTTCATGGAAATAACTTTAGCGGATTCACAATGTTAGTACCATGCCTTTAATGGCAATTGAATATTCAATTGATCTTTAACTCAGCGGTTGCATGCTAACCCGCAAAAACAGAGAAAGTTTTGCTCCAAACAAAGTGCCATATGGTACATCAAAATGCATGAGGAAAAAATGAGAAAAAGACCAGGAGGAAAGGCAGAGAGGAATTCAAGGCTGATTCACACTTGAAACTTAAGGTAATAAGGTAAGACCTTAAGTTAAGACAGGAAGTGCTGTATAAACCAATGGCCAGAGTTAACACAAAGATAGAGATTATTCCTATCCTTTATGTTAAGTGTGGCCATTAGTTTATACAGCACTTCCTGTCTTGACTTAACCCTTTAATTAAGTTAAGTTTCAAATGTGAATCAGTCTTAAAGAGAGTAGCATATTTTTAAAAACTTACAGATAGTATAGAAGCATAGGGGATTGGTTTACCACTTCTAACCAGAGCCTCTCCAGCATTAGTGAAAGTAACTGATGGACTACTAATCACATCAGACCCAGCAGCAACAGAACTACCAACGCTACCAAAAACTACTTTAGAACAACCCCACGGTTTACTGGACTGGACATCAAGGCCCCACAAAGCATTCATATGACAGAGTTCTTCAATAAAACCCAGTGGGGAGGACTCTTTAGGTCGTGAAATGCAAATATCGGTCTCTTGTACTCTTGGATGATGGTTGACTGGTTTGCCTGTTCCAGTGAATATGAAGTATTTGGATTTGCTGTAGTACTGCATTAGTTTTAGTGCTAGGGACTCAAGTGAGTTATCTACTGGACAAAACACCCAGACAGGGAAGTCCTTCCCTCCTTCAACAAGAGGATGTAGTTCCTAATAAATAAACAAAATAATAAATGAATAAATAAGTAAGTTAACAAATAAATAAAAATGACTAAGGAAGACGAATACCAAATTAAACAATAACAAAAACTAGCGATAGAGTAGCACCAAATTAAATTCAAAAAAGGAACTAAATAAACAAAATAGATCAATTTAAGTACATTACAAACATTGATACGTTATGCA